AAAAGGTACCGACCGCACAGTCAACCCGTATCATAAGGATGTGCGGTAAGCATGCAAGGGCCTTGGAGGCCCATGTCAACGCTGTTCGAGCGAAATTGGCCAGCGAAAGTGGCCAAGGATGGGCCGAGGAGGCAAGGATGCAGGGGTACCCTTGGGAAGGCTGCTCATCCTAACCCTGCGGGTTGACTGCACGTCTGCCTCCTCTGACCTTGTATTGCCCCCTATCGCACTTACGAGCCACATCCCAGAAATAATTTCGAACACCCAGACAAGTATCGAAACAGTGTCGAACGAGTACCGCCTCCCAGGGCCCGACACTCGAAATCCCTCCGATTTCCTTACCTTCTTGGGGCTCGGAACTCTTCCGGGTGCTCCAAGCCAAAGCAGGTAGGAACATCACCACTCTGACCCCTCGCCCGCGCCGCCGAGCCTTCACCCCCTTGCTCCAGAACCCCACGGCGGCCGCCGCGGCCCGGCCCCGCCTCCCGGACCTGGGGCGACCCCTCGCGAGGCCGAGGCACGCACCCGCCGCTCCGGCCGCCGCCGCGGCGGCCACGGGCCGTGCGGCCCACGCCTCCGCGGGCGCCGCGCCAGCCTTGCGCGGGGGCAGAACTCACGACGACGCCGCCGACGACGCCGCCGCCGCCGACGCCGCCGCCGCCGACGGCGACGACGACGACGAACTCACAGCGGGCGGCTTCTCTGCTCTGTTGCTGTTGTTGGAAAAGGACGCCGAGCAACCCGCTGCCCCGCAAGGGGGCCACCACCGCGCCCCTCGACGAGCCGTTGCAGCTCCCGCGCAGCGGCGGTGCTCTATGGTGGTCGGCCTGGGTCACGTCACCGCACGGCGGGCGGCTTCTGCTGTGTCTGGCCTTCTGGAGGCCTTCCCCTGATCAGTTCGGTGACGGAATGTCCAAGGTCGCAACCGACGAGATCGGTGGCTACCGCTTTTGCTTCAGACTTCGGGCGCGACCGATTCGCTGCAAGAGCGGTCACGACCGATTTTGAGATCGGTCGCGATCGGTCGCGACCGATTCGGAGTGCCGATCGGTCGCTGGCGATCGCGACCGAAAAAAACATGGTATCCAATGATCTGGACTTGGGGGTACACAAACCGTGTGGCGACAGGCCGTGCGGTGACCCCGAAATTCTGGAGGACCTCGCCGCACGGCCTATCGACGTACGACTTTGGGACCTTGTAGGCCCCAGTCACCAGGGACGTCCTCGGAGAACGACCCGAGACCCAAGTCCGCGCGGTGGTCCCGAGTCCCTGCGGACGCACCACGCGGTGTGGTCACAAGACCGTCAGTGCCGCCCGAGCCCTGGCAGGGCACTTGGACCGTGAAAAAACGACCCCGGATGGAAAACCAGCCCCTGGGAAAGGGCATGCGGCCTCGTATAAGTAGCATCGATCGTGTTAGCAGTGCTGGTATTGTTGGTGCTCCCAGTGTAACTAGCTTTTCATGATTGAAGACATCGTCTGTATCAAGCTTCTCGCGGCGCTAGGCAATACAATTATCACTATGACTCTTTTGTGTTGAATTAGCAAGCATACGATGCGTATTGCTTCCAATCGTCGTCATGGTACTACAAGGATTCGCCGGACTCGTCATAGTAGTCTTCGAAGTTCTCTAGCATTAGTAGTCGCATCCTCAACATCACGATAAGTAGCAGCAATGTTCGTAGTTGGCGCATTCTTATTCGTATGACATGTTCTGAATATTAGTACGCAGATCGTTATGAGTATTAGTATTGTGCTTCTTGATGCTAGAAGACTGAAGAATTGCAGGGTATGTTGTAGTCTGGCAGTGCGACGTGTCTTCTCCCGTATGCGTCTCTGGCACAGAGCATCGACAGGGAGAGTCCTTGACTGAAGCACGCAAAAACAAAGCTGGGTTCTCCCAAAAGCAAAGGGTTTGCTGAATCCTCGGTTGTGGTCGAGACTTGGGACATGAATGGAATGTGGGATGGGAGCTGACCCAATGTGCGAATGAAGTGCTGTTATGCGCGGCCCACCACTCAGGTATGATGGGATGTGGCCTCGGCTGCGTAGCGCTCTCCGCGCTGCCAGGTAGAGCCGAGGTTGCAATGGAACGGCCTGGTGCCGAAGGCTAAGATGAGATCGAATCCTCCTGCCATCCCCTAGCATTTCCAGACGCCTTGATACTGGCGAGTGCCATCAGCATCACGCATGAGCATCAGAACCAATATTAACATCATTCCTCTGGGGGGGGCGCGTCGAACAAAAGCAAAAGACTTTGGATGCCTGGCCTGAGCGGGCGCAGCCGGCGGCTGTGGCGCCAAGGGCGCCACCTGCGCCGAGGGCGCGGAGGACAGGAAGGCCGCGGGCTTGCTGAGCATGGCCACCCGGCAGGAGGGGCCGCACGGAGGAAAAATCCGATGAGATCGGAGACACACCCCTTGAACCAGCAGGGCTTGAGCCAGAACGGCTACGAGAGGAAGAGGGCGACAGGAAGCCCCCGACCTCTGGCGTCACGAAACCACACACAGGCACACACACACACACACACACACGCACACACGCGCTTTTTGTTGAGCGTCGCGGGTCGAGCTGTGCAACGGACCGATCGAACGTGACCGCCGGAGCGCGCGCGCAGGCTAAAGAAGGCAAGCGAGCCTCGCTGGGCCCTCACGGGGCAGTGGCGAGGAAAGGGGAGCAGGGGCCGCGGCGGGGAGCTGGCGGCGGGCGGGGGTGGGCGGCGGCGGTCCGCGGGAGGTGCTGGTCCAGCGAGGCGCCGGGCAGGCGGACACACAAACACACACACACACACAAGCACACACACACACACACACCCACAAACACACACACACACGCTTGTTCCTCCAGCGCCCCGATAGGGGTGCAAGTTAGGCTAAGACGGAATGCGTCCACAGCGAATCCCACCAGCCCTCTGGGCGCAGGTGGTCCGAGGTTGGGAGGTGAGATCAGTGGAACGGAGACTCCTCAGTCTGCAAATCGGTTTCGGCTTTGTGTTCGTGTCGTGCGTGCGGGCGGGCGAAGCTGCGTGGGCGCGCGAGAGGAATGACCCCGCCGTCGAAAGGGCGATTCGGATGCAGTGGACTGCCCCTCCGCCCGCGGTGGGCGCGCGGTGGCCCGGGGTGTCCCGCCGTGGTGTTCTGTGGTGTCCCGTTGGTGTCCCGTCGGTGTTTTATCGGCGGTGGGCGGGCGGTGGCCAGGGGTGTGGTAATGAAGTCGATAGTGAGATCGATAATGAGATCGCTAGAATGGGATGGATAGTGAGATCAAAAGTGAGATCGGCAGTGAGCTTGCTTGTGACATTGGTTGTGAGATCGATAATTAGATTGATAAAGGAATCGATAGTCAGATCGATAGTTAGATCGATAGCGAGATTAAATGTGAGATCTATAGTGAGATCGAACGAGAGATCGATAGTGAGGCTCTGGATATCATCCTTGTCTGTGGCTGGGTCCAACTCCCTGGCCAGGCGCCCCAGCCTCGCAATCCGCCGGCGAAGCTTACTTGTCCGACTGGTCCTTGCTGATAGTTCCGTGTCCTCCCCCGCTTGCGACAAGCATACAGTTCCGTGTCCCCCACGCTCGGCTGCGACTTGAGCAGAGCCTGGACGGAAGCGGCGAGTTGGGCGACTGACTTGCTCGCACTTTCGGGCTACTTCGCCCAGGCCCCCCCTGGCTGGGGATGTTGTCCAGGCTTCGGCCCACGGTCATGCTGAGCCTTCTTTGCATGCTGGCGAACACGGTCCAGATTGTGCGCGGGGCGCTGGACCCACAGGCACATCGAATCCGATTCGCCTAGTTACTGCTCCTTCCAAACGCACAGCCCCACACGGGCCGATTCGGCCCTGGTGTAACTGCTTGCTCGACCACACACACACCATGGCCCTCTTTCATATGCAGTCGAGACTGGTCCCGAACAAAGCACCATCGGTGCGCCGAGGAGCGAAAGCTTTCCTCCGCCAGGAGCTCGCTGAAAGCTAGACTGAAGTAGCCAAGCCTGAGGAAGGCCTACCCTTCCACCTCAGCATCGGGCCCCTGGAGTCGGGACGGGAAATAGCGCCGTCTTGAGACAAAGCGGCTACGGCCTCCCCCTCCTCCCCCTCCTCCTCCTCCTCCTCCTCCTCCTCCTCCGCCTCCTCCTCCTCCCCCTCCTCCTCCTCTTCCTTCTTCTCCTCCTCCTCCCCCCTCCTCCTCTCCTCCTCCTCCTCCTCCTTCCCTTCTCCTTCTCCTCCGCCTCCTTCTCTTTCTGCTCCTCCTCCTCCTCCTCCTCCTTCTTCTCCTCCTGCTCCTCCGTTTCCTCTCCTCTCCTTTTCTCCTCCTCCTTTTCCTCCTCCTCCTCCTCCTCCCTCCTCTCCTCCCCTCCTCCTCCTCATCATCATCATCAGCAGCAGCAGCAGCAGCAATCATCATCATCCTCTTGTTTCTCCTTCTCCCCCTCCTCCATGACCCCTCCGTTCCTTCCCACCCCCTCCTGGTGTCGCCATGCTGCCCAGAAGCCGAGGCAGTGGCCGCGGCTCCCTGGCGCTTGGGCGGCGGTCGCCTGTCCAGCGCGCGCGCGGGCGCACCTCCATGCGATACGGTACCATCGCCCACCGCTCGGTTATCATCTGACTGATCCACCTCTTCCAGCTCCTCCTCTTCCTCCTCTTCCTCCCCCTCCTCCTCCTGCTCCTCCTCCCCCTCCTCCTCCTTATTGATAGTAGTCGTGTTCTTCGTATTAGTTTGAGTATGAGTAAGAGTATTCGTAGTAGTAAGAATAATACAGATGCGAATAACAAGTATAGTATGTATAATGATGGTACTACTCTTACTGCTGGAACAGTGATAATAATACTACTACTAATGAAAATAAGAGTGCTGATATTGTGTGTGATCATAGCATCATACGATTGATCGTAATCATTTTATTAGCGTTAGTAGTGTGAGTAGTGCGTTTACTCGCAGTCTGAATAGTATTACGATTCGAGGTACGACTATTACCATTAATAACAATGGTAGCATCTGCAGTCGTAGTATGACTAGGATCAGTAGTAGTAGTAGTAGTAGTAGTAGTAGTAGTAGTAGTAGTAGTAGTAGTAGTAGTAGTAGTAGTAGTAGTAGTAGTAGTAGTAGTAATAGTATTCGTCGTATTCTGCGTTGCCTTCTTGTTCGTAGTGTTACTGCCTTGATGCCTAATAGTATTATTAATATTCGATCAGTACTAGCATCAGTATTAGTAGCAGTATGCTTCATCTTTTCGTTCATAGTACTATCCTTACTTTTACTGGTGAAATGATCCTCCTCCGCCGCCTCCTCCTCCTCGTACGTACTGTAACCCCTGCTTCTCCTGCTCCTCCTCCGTCCTGCCTGAATCGTGCCCACCGTCACCACGGGCAGCACCACCGCAGAGATCATCCTCATAACCCGACTCATCGCCGTCGCCCTGCCCCTTGCCTTGTCACGCTGGGCGCGCTCGCACGGCCTCGGGCCCCGGGGCCCCCGCGGACCGATCGGGGCTCGAGAGGCACGCCGCGGAAAGATAGGGCCTGCTGCTCTCTCTCTCTCTCTCTCTCTCTCTCTCTCGGGCTCGACTCCACGAGGTCGAACTGATTTGACTGCTGCTGCAGGCTGCTGGGCCGACTCCACTCCACGAGGCAGGCTGATGGGGCCCGCTGCTCGGGCCGGGACCTCCACGGGGTCGAACGGACTTGCGACGCCGGACAGCACGGCAGCCCCGGCCCTCTGTCCCCGGGGCCAGACTCGCACCCCGAGCCGTCTGCTGCCGGCCCCAGAGCCCAGCGGGCGCGCAGATGCCCACATCCCCCACGCCTCGAGATCCCAGGCCACGACCCCGCGGCAGTGGATATGGCCATGCTCTGGCGGTGGACCCCGATCGCGGCCCGAGATGACAGCCCCCCGGAGGCCGAAGCCGAGGACGAGCACGCCGGGGCCTGCCGGAGCAAACGGACCCTCGGGATGTGGGCGAAAAAACCTGCCCGGGGCGAGGCGCCGAGAGCGGGTCGTGGAGATCGTCGAGGTCATCGAGTCCGTCGAGGTCGCCGCCGCCGCCACCGTCGTCGTCGTCGTCGTCGTCGTCGTCGCCGCCGTTGTCGTCGTCGTCGTCGTCGTCGTCGTCGTCGTCGTCGTCGTCGTCGTCGTCGTCGGACCCATACCCCCGACGTCTTTTGGAAACGTTTCGGAACGTTTTGTATTCCACATCGTGGAACCCCAGAGGTCTCTAGCCATTCCAAGGGACCGCCTTTTCATCTGAGTCGTTTTCTGACGGTCCCGAGGCACGGCGAGGGCACCCAGGGGCTGAAAGTAAGAAAAAGCTCACGCCGTTACTTCTTCACGACGCGAGGGGGTCTGGGTCCTGGGGTCGCAGATCGACCCCCAGACCTCCCCTCTGGCGCGTTCTGGCAAGCTGTTGGGGGCGAGCTAGATGGTGACATCCGAACCCTACCCCCACCAACCATCGATTTCTCCTGAACAGATGGGAGGCAGGGGTCGTGATCGAATTTCGCCACGTGTTCGACGAATTCCGAACCGTACCCCCGCCGCCCATCGAGTTGCCCGAGTCGCTGATCAACGAAAGCAAGGCTCGGATTTCGCCGCCGACGAACCCCGCCGTTCCAGACATCCGGCTGCTCCAATTTTTTCGTAGCGTGGGCCCTGGAGGTCTGGACCACTTCCAGTTGTGCTTCCTGAATCGTTGTTTGACGGTCCCGAGGCCCGACGAGGGCCCCTGGAGGCCAAAAACAATCCAATTTTTGCTCGCGGGGGTGGCGCGGGGAGGGGGGCAACTCCAAGCGCGCAGGCCAGCCACCCCTGAGGGCCCGCACCAAAGCTCACCCCGGCGAAGGGTCACTCTGACGCGCAGCCGAAATCTGGCCAGCACGCCCCAGGGGGGTCCAAGCTGTGGCGGCGACCCCCCCACCCACCAAGAGGCTCCAAAAGCGACCGTCGCCGTCGCCATCGCCGCCGCCACCGTCGTCGTCGCCGTCGCCGCCGCCACAGCCGCCGCCGTCGTCGTCGTCGCCGTCGAGGTCGACGGACACATATCCCCGACGTCTTTGGGAACGTTTCGGAAGGTCGGATCTCTGGGGTGGCGACGAGCAGCCTCCCCGGAGCCGAAAAACGCCTCGGCCATCGCAGCTCGAAGCCCGAACCCTCCAGGGCGCAAGGGCGTGGGGGGCTGGAGGCCGAGGCCGAGGCCTGCGGCTTGCGACGGCCTGCAGCCGCCGAGGCCTGCTCCTCCTCCTCCTCCTCCTCCTCCTCCTCCTCCTCCTCCTCCTCCTCCTCTTCCTCCTCCTCCTCCTCCTCCTCCTCCTCCTCCACCTCCTCCTCCTCCTCCTCCTCCTCCCCTCCTCCTCCTCCTCCTCCTCCTCCTCCTCCTCCTCCCTCCTCCTCCTCCTCCTCCTCGTCCTCCTCCTCCTCCTCCTCCTCCTCCTCCTCCTCCTCCACCTCCTCCTCCTCTTCCTCCTCCTCCTCCTCCTCCTCCTCCTCGTCCTCCTCCTCCTCCTC